AGCAGCGTTTTCTGATTTTGGAATTTCCACTTTCTAGAAAAAGTCTTGTTTATAAAGCACAATAAGTTGGACCCAATGATGCTATCAATCTTCCTGTACCTCTCACTGCAAAAGTTAAAAGGAAATCACAGCTCCCGAGAAAGGTTTTATATTCACAGCTTATAGCTGGTGATAGTGATGGTTTGTTAAATATATATTTAGACAGCGTTTTCTGATTTTGGAATTTCCACTTTCTAGAAAAAGTCTTGTTTATAAAGCACAATAAGTTGGACCCAATGATGCTATCAATCTTCCTGTACCTCTCACTGCAAAAGTTAAAAGGAAATCACAGCTCCCGAGAAAGGTTTTATATTCACAGCTTATAGCTGGTGATAGTGATGGTTTGTTAAATATATATTTAGATACAATTAAAATGCACAATAGATTTAAAAATATAGAAAATTAAGAATTTATAATTTCTTACATCACTCCCTTCTGGCCTGCAGCTGTAGCAAGAGCTCAATACTTCTGGGTGTTTGGGCATGGGACTTGCTTATGAAAAGCAGCCAGAAAGTTCAGTGAAATGGGGTAAATCCTTTGTTAATGGGTTGTGGGGAGTCCTCAGCAATCAGTTCTAGAGCAATGAACAGCTATACACTGCCAGGTGACAACGGGAAGAGTCGGGCAGCCTTGACAAGCAAGGAGTTAAAAGGGGTGATGTTTTACTTTGGGCCGAAGCTCCTGGGGAGGCTGAGTCCACACTAAGTGTTGCCCCAGACCCATGAATCCAGAGGCACATACTGGCTGACGTTTTATGGTAAGTAAAGCCACTATTGCAAGTGCTCTTCTATGCAGTAAATGCCTTTTACAGCCCGTATGTGTTGTAATTGTATAAGTTGTTATCTATCTGCTCAAAATCAGCCAAATGACTTGAAACATGAAACAGTCTTCTGGCCAGGACAATTCACTATAGAAAACGGTGATGGGATGGCATTATGGCATGTATAATGTGAATAGAAGGTGGTTTTGATGATAGTGAGGAACCAGGGCTGAGGATCATGATCCTTGTGAGAGATGTGAAAGGAAATTTTAAGACTGTCTACAGCAATGTTCCTTTTTTCTGTTGTGTCAAGTCTGAAATCTCTCACTGTGCCCCAAACAGGGAACTAAATGCATGTTAGTAGTCTGACAGTTTCATGAATGATCAAAAAACTCCCGGGGAATGCAAAAAATAGTGAAATATTTGCAACAATTATCTCTTTGAACTTAATGATGCAAAATTAATGATGCAATTTTCTCAGGCAAATTAAAGATAAAAAAGACACCAAAATTTTTTTTTTAAACTTCCATTTTTTCCCCAGATCCATCCAAAAGAGATGTTTGCTATCTGACCCCAGTAAGCAACTTCAAATATTTAATGCAAGCTCCAAGCTCCAGTTCTCTCACTGAATTTCTAAATTAATGAACTGAAATAGAGGGTTTAAGTTATGGAGAATTGAGAGGAACAAGACATATCTTAGAACTAGGATCATAACTCAGTCACAGACGCAATCCACTGCTGAACAAGGATTACAATGTAGGTTTTTAAGGCATCTTAACCTGAGACAAAAGCCCAGCATCTGGGGAAAAGAACCTAAACTATTTGGTTTTTTAAATGGGAAAGGTTAAGGAAAAAAACACAAATATCTGGGAATAGTTATAGAGTTAGCAAAACTGAGAGTGGTATTGTAATCTTAAATGATTCAATTTGTTTGCAACATGTGAGGTTCTACAGAGAGTATATGAAATAAATTTGCTATCTTGCTATTTTCTTGATAGTTTAGAAAGATGACTTTCTCTGCTCCACGCAGTCTGTGGCTGGAGTCCAGCATTTAAAGCTGGATATGTATCTTCTCCACTCTAAAGAGCGATGCAGAGCGATGGGATGAACCAGGGGAATAAATTACAAATGTCTCTGTCGGGAGACTGATTTTTGCATTAGCTAAAGGTGATCACCTTCCAGGTTAATCTCCCCTCCTCATACCTTGCAGTGCACCAAAGTAAGGCGGCAGCAAAGTGGAGCACAGAGCCTGCTTGGTAGTTCCCTCAAAAAGATGTCAGAACTGGGGAGGAACAGGGAGGTTCTGTTCTCTTTGAGTTTCTGTTTTGTTTGTTCTTTCTAAGCAAAAGAGGAAGGTGTCTCAGCAAATCCCACCATTTGTGAACACTGAAGAGTAACAAGTATTAATCAGGAGGATTAGAGTTTGCCCTTTTTTGCTGTGCAAATTAGAAAGTTTCAGGGTAAATGGGAAACCTCCTGCTTTTCCTTGCTATTATAGCTGCTGAAAACCTAGCAAACCTTTCTGCCCACAGGTTTACTCCCTGGCTGAAATGTGCTGCCTGCCCCAGGTGTTCTTGTAATCCTATGGGGCAATTGTCAGACATTAAACTGGGGATCCCAGAAAAACACTGCAAAACAGGAAAAAATCTAAGGATCACACACACAAAAATGCAAAAGAGTGTGGCTGCAGAAACGGAGTTGCCATAGCTGTTAGAGATTCAGCGAGACAGGGTGGAATCCAGTGTTTTGGAAGGTTTCCCCGTATGACACAAGATTTTGGAATTTTACAGCTGGTAAATCCTTATTAACACAGGCAGCCACTACTGGCCTGGATTCCCTGGCTCACTGTTTACTATGGGGGCGCCTAGTGGAAGTATGCCTGGTCCTGATTATTCAGCTTTGAATCTTAATTGTTTAAAGAGAATATTAAAAAATAATAATAATTCT